AGCTGCTGTAAACAAACAGGAGAGATAGAACCCCGACACGCCACCTTCCAACCCCGTGTTTACCACCAGCTGTATATCCTTCACTGGGTCTGTTTAAAAATATCCCTGCATATACAAACAAGTGCGGCTGTGTGTGCATGAATACTGAGCGTGCATTGTGCACGAGAGTAAAAATCGAAACTAGACATAAGAAACTATCAACAATCGAGGAAAATCGTATTTATGCACATTTGTAAACATCATATAACCATACAAATGAGAGACTAGGGATGTCTTTAAAATTGTAGAAGGCCTGATCTAAAATGTGAGACATATCCAGAGAGAACTGTGTCTGAAAGCTAAAGATCTGAGCACAACAAAGGTCAGTTTTTCAAATCTGGACTTGATCCGAATCTTGCCTTGAAGTTGTGTATGTGCCTGACAAAGTGGAAGGCTGTGTTCATGTGGTTGTGAGAGCCCACAAAACACTAAATAACAAATTGGGACATTGCCTTGTTAATCTGTATTCTGTTCAGCCAACCAAGACTTTGCTATAAGCATTTAGAAAGCCACCAGAGCACGGGACAGACAAGCACACTGACCACTGGCTAGATGAGTCACTTGTGGCTGCAAAACAACTGTGTATCCACTAGCCTTTAAAAGCTGAAGGAGGACACTTGCTTTCATATGTGGAGAAGGAGAGTGAAAAGGTTATGCATGCCTTGCAGCTATAAGTGTGCAGGTTATACACACACACACACACACCTTGCTGGACTAAGGAATGTAAAAGCTTCTAAAGGACAGCTGTTACGTTTTGTCTCTGGGACCCTCTGGTCTGGCCTAAACGGACAGAGAACAGGGAGGGAAGCTTGCTGCTACTTCATGATGATTTTCTGCTGCATATGCTTTAGTGTGCAGTATCATTCCTCTCTGGACCAAATCTGTCCAGATGCATTTCACTGATTTCTATACCCCCTGTCAGTAAGTAAAAAATTAAAAAATAAATAAAATGGATTAAAGAAAAATGTGCGAGTCAAAGGCACTAGTCTAATCACAGCGTGTGATGAGCATCAAAACACCCACCTCCATTATTTTCAGTGAATGCTCACACATGGACGGTGAATTTATGAGCGTCATTGCAGGTTGACGTGTGCCAACACTTCAGGATATGCCATTACTATCCCAGAGTCAACACATGTCAAAAGCATAAAATACTGCAGTACTCACTCATTTCAGTAGTCCCACATTGATGCCGCGCTGCTCCTGGTTTGTGTTATGGGAATCATACGACACGTCACATGATGAGCCGCGACATGACACTATCTGCATGTGGTGCCTTTCACCGTTTTTGGGAATGTGTGCCTGAGTTTACAGAAGGCACATGTACATACACATAAACATCTCTTCACGTTTATGTTGTCACTGCATGAGTCTACGCTGGGTGCAAATCAGATGCATTGTAGCTAGAATAAGTCTTTTAACAAAGCTTGAGTCCTTTCATGTTGTTGCCAACACTAGTAAAGAGATAATGTTGCTCTGGAAACAACTTAAACTAGAAAGCACTCAAAGTGCAAATCTACACCAAGGACAGGTCAGTTAGCCCATAATGCCATTACACCTAAAAGCAATACTCCCATGAGAGTCTGACCCTCATGATTGCTTGACCATGAAAACCTACTGCTGGCATTTCAAATGACACCAATATCATCATTAGGTTGAAAGTTATTCAAGAAAAACAACAGACATGACAGACATTCACTCGCTGGCTTAGGGGTAAAATGGGGACTGAGTGGACCACGGGCAAAGTGGTGAAGACATCACATTTCTTTAAGTCTATGTTCAACAGCTGTTTGATAAACTGCTCATAGAGTCTCCGTTACTGGCTGACTGTTGCACTAGAGAGTGAACCATCATGTCCTCTGCTCTCCCTCTGCTCAGCTGTGTGAGTGTGTGTGTGAGTGAGAGAGAGAGAGAGAGAGAGAGAGAGAGAGAGAGAGAGAGAGAGAGAGAGAGAGAGAGAGAGAGAGAGAGAGAGAGAGAGAGAGAGGAGCGCAGCCCCTCCCCCCTCTAAAAAGAGACCAACCCAGGGAAAAATGCAGGTTTGCATCAGCCTGTGAGGTTGGTGGTGGAAAAGCAGCTATAATTTACAGCTGGAACACCGGCTTCCTCATCAAGACTACTGTGCTCTGAAAGCTGCAAACAGTGCCGTTACTTTTTCTTTTGACTGTATGCGAATTAGGACACCAATGCTTCAGTAATTTAAAGCTACTCCTAATTTCTCTTTAGCCGCTAGAGAGTCAAACCAAACTGATGCTATAAGCTGCTCCTACCTGCTCTTTGTCCCTCTTACATCTTGTGTCCTAGCAATGTCAAAAACTACAGATGATTTGAAGTTACAAACTGCAGGCTACATCTGAAACAAATCTGAATCCTTTGGTTGCTTTTAACACTCTCCATCTCTAAAAGCCAAACCGATGTTAACCTCGGTTGTTGCTCTTCTTTGTCCCACTCTTTCTGTACAGACCTTTTTGGTCTGGCAGCCACTGTTTCAGACTTATAGCAAACAAGAGTTTCTCCATGGCTGGCTAATTAAGACAATTCAAATCATCATTTAAATCAACTTCCTACTTAACACAGAAACCTTCTGGAAGGACCTTACACTCATCACAACACCTACAGCAACAACACCAAGACTCTGACAGTACAGAATTAATGAGCCCATCACACAGCTGGACCAAAGTGGTTTAAACCAAATCACTGAGCAACTGAACAACACTACCATAATCTCAGGGCCTAGACTCTTATGAGAAAAAATTACTTTTGGACCTTTTTTGAATGCAATTCCACCGACTTCTGCTTTTTGTGTGATATAGTACAGTGATGTTTGCTTATATTGCTGGCACTGAACTGAGCGTACCTACAGTGCAATAAGCTAATTTTCCAGTTGTGTGATCATTAAAGTGGCGTTGACTGCATAGGAAACATCTACATATCATGATCTATTCTTTTTATATGATAGTAAATCAACTGTTGCAGAGTAATAAGAAGAAAGACTATCCACAGGTCATTCACAGGTTTTTGCACATCTGTCAATTCTCTTCTACCATGTTATCATCAAGCCTTGAACAAAACGACACTCAGGAGTTGTTTCTTTTTGTTCCCTGATTTTAACCCATGAGAAACATTCTTCCTTCCTCGGCAGATCAAAGAGAACTGAGTCGGACGCCAGGGGCCAGATCAATTATCCCAGGCAGCCATTTCCACTGTCCTCTCCTTCTGACACTCCAGAAAAATCTGGGCCCTATCAAAGGCTGATGGGGCCATCAACCAGCCAAGCAAGCTATTTTCCTCTATTTTGCTTTACCGTTAGCTTCCACTGCTCATTTTCTTTTTCCATGCTATTATCCCTTTACCCCATTTCACTTAATCCTTTCCATTCTCTTTCCCCTATTCTCTTGTTCCTTAATACAATGTCACACCATTACCCAGTCTCAGACTGCCTTTCAATGCCCTTTCCATCCCTGATTGTAAAGGTGTTGTCCCTCCTTCTTTATTTTTGTCCTTGTTCACAGGCTCATTTTGACAAATGCCACTCCAACTCCAGCTCCTAGCTAGTCCCTGACAGTCTCGCAGTTGTGCTGAAAAACAAGGGAGTTTCCTGTAAAATACAGTTTAAAAGGATCATACAAGTTCTTCTGCATGGTTTATCACAATTTTTATAATTCAATTACACAAGTATATAAGGTTTTTCAGTTTAAAAAAAAAATTATATTCAAGGCAGTTATTAGTCTCTACTAATTACTTGGAGAATGATGCAAGTGCAAACCACTGGCCAGTTCCACTATGATCACATGCCAACTCAACCGATGGCTCTACCCATCAGGGGCAACAGGGGGGGTTCAGTGTCTTGCCCAAGGACATTTCAACATGTGGACTGTAGGCATCAAGATTCGAACCTTCAACCTTCTGGTTGGGAGACGACTGCTCTACCCACCGCACCACTGTCACATCCCCCAAAATAGGGTGAGACAAAGCCACATAAAGGTTACATTTGTGCTTTACTGGTCGTGTTTTTCGAACATCGTGGTCAACTGTTTCAAGAGAATAGACTTTAAGGATGGTTAGTACTAAGTGGGTTGTTTCTCATTTGTATGTCCAATTTGTGTTCTGACTGTTTCTGTGAACTGTATCCATGAGTGTTTTGGTCCTAACTTAGTGAAACAGGAAAACTGAAATGCTGCCACACAACAGCTCTGCAAGTCAACAATGGAGCATCCACTATGTCAGATTCAAATTCTGTGACCGGAATGCAGTTATACTAGTGAAATAACCTGTATATATAAATGTAATATCCTGGTAGATACCATTACAGTTCCATGACAGTATCGAGAATTCCGATATTGTGAAATAACAAATATCATTACATCCCCAGTTATGGAGCAAATTAAGTCACAATTATTAGTACAGCCGCATCTTTATACATTAAGCACTTAGACAGCAATACTATATAGTAGAGATTCATGGTGTCCTCTTTACCCCTTTACTAGAACGGCTTTAATATGTGATCAGCATGGGCTGCCGAAAAACAAGAAAACCCAAATACTCAGACACATTTTGACACCCATAGAACATGCTAACATAGATGTGAAAGAATTCTAAACTGAAACAAGCCCAATAAAACACATGTATTAGAGAACTCAGTATTAAAAAACAAAAAACAAAAAAAAGCTAAAGTGAGTTAAAAATATGTAAGTGGTGTACAGTTTTGGTGTGGAACCAACACTTGTGAACTGTGAGGATTTGCTGCTCGTCTCCGTTTTACATGAATGTAAACTGAATTCAGCTGGATTTTGGACTGCTAGTTCTCATTTTGGATTTTAAAACCCACTCAATACGTTTGCCTGCTGTGACTCATCATTCATTTATCTTGCAGGGTTGTGTGTGTGTGTGTGTGTGTGTGCTAAATATGTTTATGATTTTTACTTTCATTCCTTATAACAAGGATTTAAATGCATTCTTACCAGACTCCTCTTGAAGACCATATGATGTAGCCACTTTATATCCAGGGATTTGAAAGGAGAACAAACAAAGAGTGAGCCTTTGTCATATTTTTCAGGCTTATGGCTGAGTCCCTCTGGATAGGAAATCCTCATTGTGGTTTTTGTCCCTACGTCCTTGACATAACCACTTACTGGTGCTCCATTTAACCTGGGAATACAAAAAGATGTCTCACTGAGTGAATTAAAAAGCCCATAAGACCATAAGACCTATGACACAGAAAAGGAAGTATTTAACGTTTATGCTTTTCTAGCGACAATCTGTGCACTTTGAAGTTTCATTAAGTCATTACTATAGCGTCTTAAGTCTGTCAGGAGTCCTCTCACCTCACTACAACATCATAGTCATCTATAATGGAGCCCAGAGACTTGTTGGACAGGATGTCCCCGCCGCCCACAATGATGCATCTTTTACAGCTGAGACTGGAAGATACAAAGATTGGAGGTTAAGAGTATTAAGCACCAGTGTTGGGCCATAACACGTTACTATAATAATGTTACATTCCCCATTAACAAGTAGTGTATAAAGCTAGCAATAAAACTTCAGTAGCAATATTAGTTACTCCCTCCAAAAACAACTTGTTACAATGTTACGTTTGTTGTCGCCAAAGATTGATTTGAAATTCGACAGTTAATATTCGTAGTCGTCGTGAATGCACACATCACTACTTGCCGTTTAGCAGCATCATAAGCAGCAGACCCCCAGGTAAAAAAATCATTTGTAAGATATTACCAACCTGTGGGCTGTAACAGAACAGTAATATAGCAAGTAGTGTAACAAGTTACTTCTGACAGGGAGTAAAAAGTTATGTTAATATTTGAAAACAAACAAACAAGTAATATATTACATTTTTTAAGTAACAAGTCCAACATTGTTAAGAACTGATTCATAGGCACTGAAATGAATGATTCGGCTGAGTAGTGGTAATTACCTGTCCAGCTCATTTCCAAGTCCATAATACTTCGTGGCAGCTAAAATTACATCTATATTTTTTTCTGTAAAGTGTAAAAAAAAAAAAAAAACATTATGAGTTAAAGATACATTCAGTCATCACCTACATTGAGGTACACTATATTAAAATTGACTTCTTATGTGAGTATACTGTGTAGGTTATTTTAGTTCCCTGAATAGTGTGGTGAATAAAAACTTTATTGACAATGAAGGGTAGACTGGCCTCATACAAGTTTAGTCGAACTCCCAACATCCAGGAGATAATCGCTGATAATTTGACATCACAAAATGTTCTGTTATCATCTAAACCAGTCACCTTAAGTGCTCTGTCCTCATGGAACATTTTAACATCACAGAACAGATACTGTCCAATAGTGAAAATGACATAGTTGAAAAGACCAAACTGGAAGCACTGCTCCTTTAAAAGATTAACAAACTGTCAAGGATCTCAATGTACCACTAGAGATGTTGCAATCTGGGTGGTCTTGAGACAGTTGGAGGAGAGAACGCCTCTCTCTGTTTATTCTGTCACAGATAAGGAGTGACCAATCAGTGCTCAGGAATAGGGGTGATGAGAGAAAACAGAGTGAATCAGAGTGAATCAGCAAGAAACAGACATACGGGGGTTTGGGATGGTATGTGTGTGCATGCAGAAACTCTCCCATAAAAGCACTCAGAAAGGAATGTTGTTTTCAAACAGCCAAAATCTCCTGGTTAAGTGAGAGCTCGTCTCCCAGCATGGGTAGCACCCGTCTGATCGCAGGGTGAGAAAGGGGCATGTTTAGCCATAGCGTGCATTACTGACATCAGATGTTCTGCAGGGCATTCTGCTGACATCATCCTTCCAGGGCTCATATTACATATATTGCTCCTTGTCCTCCTGACCTATCGTAACATCACATGTTGGTAGGTTCCATTACCCTTTAAACCACATTGCATTTGTAGTAATGTGGAAGAACCACTGAAGGACTACTTGAGTTTATCTATTACGACCATGTGACTATCTTCCCTTATTTGCACCCCACAGAATGAGACATCCAGTGTCACGTAGTTAAAAAAAGAAACTTTCATTGCTCTCTCTACTTCACTTAATATAATCCCCATATACTGTAGCACAGCCTGCAAAGGAGGGCCAAAAGAAACAGAAAAAGTGGGAGTAAGGGGAGAGGGTGAAGGAGGAGTTTAGACTAGGGCCTCAAAGACATATTACAGCCCCATTCACCCTGGCTAACGATCCTAATGATTAACCTGCTGAAGAGAGGCAAGCAGAGCAACAGCCCTTTGTTTGGATGTGGTGTCGATGTCTGGCGTCAAGCATCACCCGGAGCAGCATAAACACAGGGCCAGGGACCACACCTGATCCAAGTGGGTGAAAAGTGAAAAATCACAATGGGCAGGCCCGTCTTCCAGGGGATGACATGGAGGCTAATTGTTATAAGTACCCGGGGTAAACATTTCAGCAAAGTATGTCTCGAGGTAGAGACCAATGGCCGTAGGCTCATACATTAATCTGGCATGGAACTCTTGACAAAAATCTTTAATGGCAACAAAGAGGAACAACGAAAGCATCACGTAACACAAACACAGACACAATGCTGGAAAAAGTGGAGCAGTTTTATCAAGGACACTGATCAGTGAAATACCATCTCTACTGTCCACACTATGATCACTGTGGACAGTAGAATTTTGTTATGCCCTTCAGCTATGGCTGAATCATCTTTCCTCATATTTAATGGGCAAATTAAGGACGGAAACAAATACAGTCATGGTGACACCACAGTGGAGCAGCAGTATCACTGATCACGATGCAACTTCATTCAGCTTCTGCAAAGTACTACAGATTTGTGCACCACTTCTTAAAAGAATATAAAAATAGTGAATTACCTCTTCAATTTACACACATACCAAAGTGTGACTGAGGCAGAGCTTGTGTAAATGAGATACACTGGTTTTGTTAATGTAATTATATTCATTATCAGACTTTACTAAGTTCACTTTGCACTGCAGAAGGAAATTAGAAAAATGTTTAACAAATAATAGAAAATATAACCAATCCCACACTTTGACACTGAGGAGCTAACTGGCATATTGCAGTGCTGCAGTGTTTCTCCAAGATCGAATCAACACAGCTTTACTGTTCTCAGGGTTGATGTGTACCAAAGATAAAAAGTAAAAATAAAACTCCCACCCACCGCCACCACTCTATGTTCCCAACTTGGAATCCTTTGTAGCCTTCTATTCAAGATCCACACGTATCATCTCTCCACATGAGTACCGCTAAAAGGGAAACCCCGCTGCCGTTGCAGTCCGTGGAGAAAACAGAAACCAGGTGTAACAATCACACAGGGAGTGCTCTTTTGACAGCAACTAAGATGGTGTGTGTGTGTGTGTGTGTGTGTGTGTGTGTGTCTCAACATGACAGTGAAGAGCCTGCTGGTGCACAAAGGTAACATTAACTATAACTTCTGCTTCTAAGTATTGGAAAATAAGTGACAAAGCATGGCACTGAAGCCAGGTTAATGTTATCTCCTCACTTCCCACAGCATTGTTTAGTAGACATAAGAGTTTCCTGTTCAAAATACAGAATTCATCCAGCAACCATTCACCACTTAAAATATTATTACTGTATGACGAGCACAGAAGCCTGGACCTATGCTGTAAATAAATGAGTAGAAAATATTCACATTCTTATATATACACAGTACTGTAGACTTAAGGGAATGGTACAAGAGTTCTGTGACATTATGATAACTATGGACAGATAAGGTAAACTTCACAAAAAATGCCTGGTTTCATTCTTATCAGAGTGCAAAATACTGGCTGAGGCAGAGTTTGAAGCCAAAAACTGCTCAGATGATTAAAAAAATTAATTATGTTAAAAAGGTTCATTTCATTGCAGTGGAAGAACTTTGGAACGTTCCATGGCTAATCCATCAAAGTCAAACCTCGATGATGACGGGAGCTGAAAACAGCAGGTATTTGAATTAAATAAACAGCTTGGTTTCTAAAACACTGCACACGTCGCTGACATTTTTCAGCCATTTGGAACAGAAAAATTAAATGGCAACTCAATCTGACCTTCAGGCTAAAGAATAACTTCTCATGAGAGTTTGTTGATAAGCCTAGATCTGCTGCAGTAGACAAAGTATGAGAAGCCAACTGTGATAAGGTAAGAAGGCCGGCAGCTCTCGTTTTTCGTTTCTTCACCTCTACTGACTTAAGCTGAATGCTGGCAAACCACAACAAAACTGTAAATCATCCAGCCAACATTAAAACACACAAAAGTGAGCTTAGTACCAGCACAATCAGGTGGTTTATGACTTTGCGATACCAGGCACAAAATACGGTACCATGCAGCCACAGTCACACCCCAGCACCGCAACAAAACCAACGAAACCCTGTAAAATTAGTACTACTGAGAACACAGGCTCAGTAGTACATACAAAATCAAAAAGTAGGAGTAGTCGTCTTTTTATAGACACCAGCGATGAGATTGACTGACACTGATTTATGTAATGCAAGGTACAGTATACATCACTAGTGGAGAGTAACTGGTGTGTTTCTTACCTTGTGTTCTGAAACCAAATGGAGGCAATAAATCCTTGAGTTTTCGTAGTTGTCTAAAGTTCTTATCAAGAAACATGGGAACTTTTGGTATAAACCTGGGAGGAGGAAGGTGAAAGAGAGAGGGAGAGTTTTCATTAGCAGAGAATGAGTTTACTTTCCTTAGTAACCAACTTCCTATAACTGAACAATTATTAATTGTGCATTTTCCCATCACACCTTATCTCTTCTCCATAGACAGACCCTGTGGCTACCCACATTCCCTGCTCCACCTATGGACTGTAGTGTCAATGTCCCGGGCAAAGGCTAAGCCACAAAGTGATAAACAAATTCACTTCTTCCACTGTCATTAACCTAATACCATCCCCACCTTATGTTCCCTGCAATGATCAGACTCCTTTGTTTCTCAGCTAGAGCTTGTTACCATAACACTGTCGTGAGTTCACAAGAAATATGTAGAGCCGTGAGGCACAATGACCAAACATGGCTGACATTATCGAGTGGCCTTCCAGATAGCTTCAACTTCTTCTAAGCACCTTAATCGGTCTTTGACACCCTCATTATCCTTTAGCTTTAAAGTAGGAGAGCAGGAGAACTTATGTATGGGTCTCTCTCCTCCTCACTTGACTCGGGCGTGCGCACACACACACACACACACACAGACCTCTGTTCTGCCAAAACAAATGGAGATTCATTAAAGCCAAGACTTCTGAGGCCATAAGGGGCTATAAATAACACAGGATCACTGCGAGTCACTGAGCCCTGACCGACAGTCAGGCACTGACATCCTGACAAAGAAGAGAGACGGGGGGCTGCTTGTTGTTAAGTAATGATGGGTGCTCCCTAAACAGCCAACAGGCAGGGACGCATTGTGCTCATTTCCTCTGCTGGGCCCATTTCTCAATGGCAATATTTTGATAACCGTGCTTTACTGTCAACATTTGATTTAAGGCTCCAATACAAACAGTTTTGGGTAAAAACAAAGGGAAGAGAGGTGTAGAAAATAAATTGGATTCTGCAGGGCAAGGAGCTTCAGAGAGTACAAAAATGGAGGAAGCAGGGGCGATTAGATATAGAGCCACAGAACTTCACTGCTCGAGGTTAAGTAGGTTTTCTCTTAACAGCTGAATTGCAGGCCTCAACTCTTTAGACAAAATACTAACAAGAACATAAATTGATTTGTTTTTAACTGGTAAACACACAAGCCAGGCTGAGATATAGAAAACATGTTAATTGGTTGAATCTCTTTCACACAGGACACAATAAATCACATATTTAATGCAAAATTGCACATGTTCAATCATGCATAATAACTTAAAAGTGTGGCATTAATAGTACTCATTGACCCGTGTGTGAGTCAGTTGTAGGTGGTAGTAATCAGAGGGCTCCCAGTGGGGGTTCTGTGTTGCACAGAACTTTGATCCGACACGTGCGTCTGATTAGAGGAAGTTGTTAGGGGGGAGAACATTGTTAACATGGAGCCTCTCAGATAGGTAGAGGGCAGTTCCACAAAACTGCTTTGTTTGCAATTTAAAGCCGACAGTCCAGCTGTGTGTGTGAGGACTAGACATGTCATTCAGTATATGTTTGTCACATGTATAAAACAAAATTAGAGTCCAGGTAAAGCAAAATCAGTGATTTGTTTCTAAAGACATTATTAGAAAACATGTTGCAAGACTGAGAACTATACAGTGCTGAATTGTGGAGTCAGAGCGTTTCATCATTTTTGAGTCTAGGATTTTTCTGGGAGGGCCAGAAAGCGTGGCTCGATGACACAGTGGAGCCATCCTTAACATAACCCGTCCCCCAACACAGAAACATTATAAATGTTAGAGTGCACAGAGCTCTATGTCTGCATTGTTTTAGGGGCACTCTGAGACTGCGCACAGATGAAAATTTATGGCCGCAGTTATTTTTTTTTTAGAGAAATAACATTAATGCTGCTGCCTCGGTATTAAACACTGACAAAAGTAGTAAGAAATGAATGGTGAATGTATTGAAGTGGGTCTGAACTGACCATAGTTCTTGGAGGGC